GGCATTCCCACATTCCCTCATGTTCATTCCTTTGCCCATAGAAAATCCCTGGTTTCATGGATCCCTGCTCATTGTGTGTGTCTGGTAAGATCTCTTTCTTCTATGCATGCAGTCCCCACAATTCCTTTAAGCTGTGGCTTATTTTTCCTGTAGAAACCCGAGGCCCTCACAGCTTCATCAGTGCTACATCGTGCTATGTGGTGATGCCAGGAGGGTTCTTCCAGTGAGTTGCCTCATTCTGTCTCCTTTCTCTGTGTCTCTTCCTGTGACACTGCCGGTTCACAACTGGTGAAACTCAATCCAAATTGTACCCTTGCCTGCAAGAGCAAAGGATGGTCTCTAAATTCTTCCTGTCTATATGTGCAAGGTAAAACTACTATTATTCAGCCTCTGCCTGCTTGCTCGTGCTGCACCTGCTGCCAGCACTTGCTGCTGTGTCTCACTATCAGTAGATCTGAGATTTTTCAGAAGAAATCTTTGCTTAGGGTTGGAAACCACATGGTGCTCTTTCCCAGTGGGGGAAGGAGGGGAGAGGTTGGGATGGGCCCCACTCCAGTGTCAGTGCAGCAGCAGTGTAGGCCCGTGCCTGTGATTTGCTAACAGCCCCAGTTCTCGCCTGCGCCCTGCATGCCAGCATTGACCCAGCGGCTGGGAGGAGAGCTGGGCACCTTCCTCATCCTCATCCTTGCCTTGAGGAGCCCGGCTCTGCTCTGCGGACACTGCACTGTTCCAAACCAATAGCCTGCTGAAAGGAGCGATTTCTGGCCCAGCTTTTAGCCTGCTTTATACTGCATATCTATCTCGATATAGATATATAGGCAGTGGTAGATGAAGCTACCTGCTCGTTCGCCATGTATGGGAGGAACCAGTCATCAGTGGCGACAGCAGGAATCCACAGTACAGAGGAGGTAAGTCTCAGCCTCCAGCCCTCTTGTCCCTTGGTTTGTTGGTCTCACTGGATGCATTTTGCATTTACTGTGATTTGTGTTTATGGGCGAGTACGTTAGAAGCCGCCAAGGTGATTTGGAAACAGACTGTTTCTAACTAATGTTCACAGGAAGTGAGCAATAAATCTGCTGGGCATCTTTGGGAATAACTAGATTGCAAAACTGTGGTTTGCACTGAGGCAATGTTGCAAGCTGACACCAGGCTGGTCTGAAGCCAAGCTGTGGTCTGTAAAGCAGAGGTAAGGAGATCTCTGGATTGTTTTCTCAATAGCTTGCACACAAAATGAGTTTCATGTGTAAGTTGAAGGGCTGTGGGGTTTGGTTTGTGTTAAGCTACCAGCTCTGCAGCCTCTGGGGGTTTGAAACTCCAGCCCATATTCCAGCTGTTACCTTATTGCTGGTGTTGGAGATGCTCAGGCTTGAGTGTAGCAGGGTCCTTTCTCCAGATGGCTTTTCCTCTCCTGCTGTGTTCAAGCACTTTTCAACAGAGCAGCATGAAAGCAGTTATCAAACGTTAGCTTTGGACCGGGGTCGCGACAGGGAGAGAAAATAAAGCATTAAACCGTGCATTGTCCCAGTGTTTGAGGGGAGAGAATGAGAGAAATGCTGAAGGCTTTCGAGGCTGTAGCACTATTACGAAGATGGATTTTGACCCTTCACTGCCATGAAATTCAGCGACCAAAACTGCAGAAGTTAGATGTGTCAGCACTGAGTCCTGCATCTACTCCTGTTCATGGGCTATGAAACCCTCACAGAACTGAACAGTGTTAGAAGTGCATATGCTGGATGGAGAGGGCTCTTTTCACGTAATTGCCTCTGTTCAAACGCTTAGGATTACATGAGGTCTGCATCATTTCTTTTTTCTACCGAAAGTTTCATTCTGAGACTCCTTTTGTCTAAGGCATCACAAGAACACAGTTGGCTGCTCTCAGAAATGAGGTTTTCTCCAGTAAATTATTTGACAGTGTATTCTTATGGCTTGGCTTATTTTGACATCACTTTTGAAAGTGATTCTCTGGACTTGCTCTGTTTCAATTAGGACAATTTTAAAATAACTGTGACCCAGAAGAGGAATATGGCGAGGTGGCTGAAGCCGGAGGAGAGGCAGGGGACAGAGAGGGAGTCTGGGGCAGCACAACACCCTGCGAGGGAGCAGGATAGGAGGGGCAGAAAGACGAGGGGCAAAGCTGAGCTCGAGGAGGCTCTGATCGCCCCACAGCTGCAGGCAAAGCTGGTGGAAGGTTCCCTGTCATCTGAGGAAGGAGATCTTCCTGCACCAGCCTCAAATTGAGCTGCTTGAAAAACTTTTTAGAGTGCAAAAGAAACTACTTATGCTTGTTACTTAGTGGAAGCTATCCCAACACCCCGAAAGGAGTTAGGCATTATACATATTTTATGTTTAATCACATCTTTAGTGACACCCAACCACAACCAAAGGCTTAAATTCCAATTAGAGGGAGATGTATTAAATGTTTAATAGGAGCCACAAAGATGCTGGAGGGAGTGGAGCATCTCCCTTATGAAGAGCAGCTGAGGGAGCTGGGTCTCTTTAGCTTGGAGCAGAGGAGGCTGAGGGGTGCCCTCATTCATGGGGATCAATTTGGAAAGAGCAGTGTCAGGAGGAAGGAGCCAGGCTCTGCTCTGGGATGTCCAATGTCAGGACAAGGGGCAATGGTCCCAAGCTGGAGCACAGGAGGTTCAACCTGAACATGAGGAAAAACTTCTTTACTGTGAGGGTTATGGAGCATGGCCCAGGCTGCCCAGAGAGGTTGTGGAGTCTCCTTCTCTGCAGACATTCAAAACCCCCCCAGCCGTGTTCCTGTGTGACCTGGTCTGGTGATCCTGCTCTGGCAGGGGTTGCACTGGGGGAGCTTTCGAGGTCCCTTCCGACTCCTGGTATTCTGTGACACAGGGTAATTAGATCTTCACATTCACTGGAGAGATGTTACGTTGGCAGCAATGTTGATCTGAACAGGGATTTTTTTAATTTATTTTATTTTTTTCATAACATTCAAATAAGAAACTGAAGAATGATCTGTACCATTCGTACTCCAGACCCACCACCCCTGTGCTACCCAGCCAAGGGCCTAGATCTGGGAAAAAGTGAAATTACATTCATGTGCAGCTTTGAACATCGATACTTGGATCTCTGTGTGAAAAGTGTTGTCCTACGTGTGCTGAGAAGCATCAGGCTAAATTTACCTTTTACTTCAGTTCTGAGCATTTTTCAAAACTGGTAACCGACTACTCGGTATTTCAGCTGTAACTACTGTGGTGGGGTGAATCTTCAAGACAGATGCTCTGTCAAGGTTATCTTAAAAGTATCTGCTGATGAATGCATTTACCAATTTTTTAACAAGCTTAGTATGTGCGCAAAAGATTTTTCTGGTAATATTTCGATTATTGCAAAAATAATCAGTGTTACACACTCAAAATAAGCAAAGTATAAGCCATGTTGTGAATTCTGAACCAAGGCTGATAAAACCAAAAGCTGTCAAAGGCCAGGTACCCCAAGGCTCTGCCCTGCACAGGGACCTTCCAGAGCTCACTTCCAGTGGGGAGCCTCCAGCTTGCAGGGTGACTTGGGGAGGAAATGAGAACAGTATTATTCTTTTCAGAAGAAGTCCAGCATGGTTACTTGGTGCTGTGGAAAACAGCGAGTAACTTTCCTACCTCCCAGACATGTGTTGGAGCATTTTGAGATATCAAAAATAAAAAGCATGGTGAAACCAGCAGGGTTAGGGGAAGTGGTCAAAGTGTCCAGGTTACCAGGCCAAAAGAACAGCAGTGGTTTCAAGGCAGAGTGGCAAAAAGCTCATTTGGGAGAGCCTCCCTGCTAGCAGGTCCTATGTCTTTTTTACACACAGAGCCTCAAGATTCAAAAGAACTGGCACCCGAGCAGCTCTGGCTCAGGAAGAGGTGCTGCCTCCCCTGCAGGAAAGCTCTGCCTGACGGAGATTTGGGATCAGTCCTGGGCAGTCACCCTGGGGAGCATCCCTGAGGCCCAGTGAGGCAGGAGTCAGAGTAACCAGTGTCCTTCAGGCCAGGAGTCACAGTCTGCACGGGGTACGTGTGTGGCCACTTGTAACGCTTTGTTAAGCTGACATTATACAGGTATTTTT